AAAAAAAAAAAAAAAAAAAAAAGGTGTCCTCCCAGATCCCCCAGGGCAAACAAACCGACTGCATAAGCATGACGAGTAAGAGCATCCTCACTCACACTACCTTCTTCCCCCGAATACAATGTACCGTCATTATATCTGTATTGAGACTGAAAACTGAAATATACCAAACTTGAAGATCCAGCTATAATTACCGCACGTTGTATTCGGGGGAAAAATAAAGGTAGCACTTCCCTGGATGTATCTGGATGCAATTAGGAAAGCTAAGTAGAAAAAAAGTCCTTAGCGTGAGTATGCCCGCAGTCGGGATAGCGCCTCCCTCCACTAGGTACCAAACTCTTTTTTTTTTTTTTTCTATTTCCTATGGTGAGACTTTTCTCACCCAAAAAAATAAAATAAAAAAAATCGGTGTCGTAGCTCCACCGCTCACCACACATATGGGTGGGTGGTGGGTTACTGGCCTTTTATGGTGGGCTGCCCAGAAGACTCGGAGGCACCACAACTCGCCACTTGTGGTGGGCTCTGCCCAGAAGAGGCACCACAACCCCGCTGTTGAAGGCAGGAAACGCGACCCGTCTCTTGACACGCGGGCCGTGATGAGTGCTACCAGACCGGCAGCTCTGGTAAGTGAAGGAGCGAGGCCTACGGGGCATCTCGCCCATTTGGTGGGCCGAGCTCCACCACTTGCCAAAGGCGAACATCGGGAATGAAATGAATGAATGTGTGATCATCGAAATGTCCGCGTACATACAGAATGTTACGTGTTACGTGAGCCCTCAAGGGGCCCTACTTTGTGAAAAAAAAAAAAAAAAAAAAAAAAAAGGTTACGTGTTACGTGGCATTAAATTTTGGCGGGTTTCCCCCCCCCCCCCAAAAAGAAATTTGTTTTTGGCAGGGGGTCCCGCGAGGCCCATAGGCTCCTGTCTCTTATACACATCTAGATGTGTATAAGAGACAGGTGTGAGTGAGAGAGTGAGAGAGAGAAGAACTTGATATTCAGAGGAAATCCTTTGCTCTCTGGGTCTACTTTAGATTAAGCTCCGTAAAGTTCCAAAGGCGAAGCCGACGCTAGCCGATTATCGATGTCGAACCTGCAGATAGACGACAACAGGAAATTAATGCCCGTGGCATCGGGCGCTAGACGATTATCGATGTCGAGCCTGCAGCTAGATGACAGCAGGAAAGTAATGGCAGTAGCAGCCCACGGTAGACGATTATCGATGTCGGACTTGCAGCTAGATGACAACAGGAAATCAATGGCGGCAGCAGCTGCCGCTGCCGCGACAGCAGCCGCGTCCGCATCAGCATCGGCAGCGGAAGAACCAGTACGACAAGCATGTCAAGGCGAAGGCGGAGGAGGAGGAGGAGGAGGAGGAGAAGGAGGAGGAGGAGAAGGAGGAGGAGGAAGAGGAGGAATAGGAGGAGGACGCGGAGAAGGAAGAAGAGGCAGTGGAAGAGGAGGAGGAGCTGTGGTGGAGCGTTCAAGCTCACGGTCTTTCTCTGCCAAACCGTTTGAGGAAGATAGTTGTAGTGACTATGTATCTGATCATTCAACGAGCTCGAACCCGCAATCTCTGCTGCTTTCCGCTTCCAAGCCAGTGGCAAGTGGTTGCTTTTGGTCTATCCTTAATCCACATAGCAGATTCGTGCGCAACTGGAACAAGTTTTTTGTCGTCACGTGCTTGACGGGCGTATTCATCGATCCGTTGATCTTCTTCATCTTCGGCGTGGATGGTGAGATGGGATGCATGTACATTCGGTGGAGATACGCGTTGATACTCACGATCCTACGGTGCATAACAGATTTGGTACACGTCTTTCACATCGTCTTTCAATTCCGGATTGCCTATACGGCGAGGCGGCGGGAGGCGAGCAGCCGGCCTGTTCTCATTACAAATCGGAAGAAGATTGCCTACCATTACGTCAAGAGTTGCCTCATTCTCGACGTCGTCGCTGTGCTTCCCCTATTTCAGGTACGCTATCCTGCGATCCACTCAACAATACTCTCTCTCTCTCTCTCTCGCGCGCGCGCGCGCGCTCGTTCGGTGCGTCTGCGCTTCTCTCATTCCTAGTCTGTTCAGTCCATCCCATTGCCCTCGTTTCAATGTGGAGTGAGTGCGCGAGAAGTAACGGGATCGGGTGATCCTCTCTCTGTTTTCTCCCTTTCTCTCTCTCTCTCTCTCTCTCTCTCTCTCTCTCTCTCTCTCTCTCTCTCTCTCTCTCTCTCTCTCTCTCT